GGGGTTTGGTTGGGAGGGAAGGCTCAGGTTTATCTGCTTTTAAAACTGTAGCTGTGCATAGTTTTATACCTTAACTTGATTTACGGAAACTTGATTTCTTTGCATTCGATAAGTTCTATCTTCATTTGGATCTTTATTTAGCTAAACTAAGTACTGTAATAGAAAAGTTACATCTAGCTCACAGTTAGGTTCAGTGTCTAACTTCAGTTTTAGCATGCATAACTTCTCTGAGTATTAAGCTGCTTTTGTTTTACTTCGGTTAATTTCATTCTATGAACAACGACACAGGTGCGGATAAGCAGCCATGAACATCATCAACATCTAAGATTCTGTATGGATTCTGGAAAGAGAGATTATTTCCTGAATAGACAATGGATATAAAAGTTGATTTTGTAATAAAAGGGGTTTAGTCATTAGTGTAACTTGACATTCACTATTTTGTGGGCAGCTACTTCTTTATTCCTCCTTTTTTTTTTCCTAGGTTGAAGTTTTGACTTTTGATAATATATAATACTTCTTTATACCTTGTCTTTCTGAATCTGATACACCAGCCTTTTGCAGATACTTAAATTAAATGTTCGGGTGACGTGCTTATTAATTGTTAACCAACATACAGGGCTTTGTTGAATGTAAGACTTTTGGTAGCCATGGCCAGCAGGAGGGATTTGTCGCACTTACTGCTCGTCGTAGTAGGTTGCATCCTGGAACTCGATACTTAGCTAGGGGTATAAACTCATGTTATGGCACAGGTGATCCTTCTTTGATCTCCACCATCTGTAATGTGTTCGTGTTTCTTCTTTCGACTGTAAAAATCTATAGGAGTGTACTAATGTCCGAAATTTAAGAGTTTTCTGGCATAATTCAGCTACAATTGTGCTATACATATATCCTGAAACTTGTAAATGTTTATTTATTTATTTTATCTTTCTGGCTTGTTTTTTCACTGGTGTTTTGCATGCTCCTGATCAATGGTTTTTCATTATCTTCAACTTGCAAATTATTTTTGAAGTTAACTGTGGCTTTACAACGACACAATTCTAATTTCTATTGATTTGGCTAGCTGTTTATATATAGCTTTTTTTTTTTTTTTT